CCAGCTATCCGATTTATATTAAATTTGTAACAATTCTCTTCAATATGGGAATTGATGAAAAAGAATTAAATTAGAAATCTTCCAATTTAAGATTAAGACTATAATTTTTTCCACAAATGAGAATCTATATCTGAAATTTATACTTCAATAAAACTCATATTGTGAAACAATTAAAGGAAAATGTTACAATTGGTGTACGTCTGCACTAAGTGTTTTACTTATGGAATGAAATCAAAGAATATTTTCCTGTATGAAGAAAGAAAACACTAGTTGTGTATTCGAAGCTACAAAAGAAGAAGGAACATTCTCTTTCATATCACTTGCATGGTGTGTTCATTTCAGATTATTTCAATAATTGATACTAGTACTATGATACATTCCTTCGTTCTTTTCCTATTTACAAATTGGTTGGAATATTCTTCTGGTCCACAGCAGTTTTTTAAATTCTTTGTATTTGCCTTCAAACGTTGAATCTGTTCCATGAAATTATTCATTTAGAACGTGGTGCCTGATTAATTATGAGAAAAAAAAAGAAAAAAGATGAAAAGTTGTTTAATTTTCAAAATTAATGAGACGTGGTTGTACGAGATGTTATAATTATGTATTATGTTACATTGTGTAAATTAATAACAACGTAGTGAACAATTGTTCCGCTGTTAATATTTGCATTACGTTGCTAATATTCTACGTTATTATTATTTCACACAACAATTGTGTATACAAGTGATACTGAGTAAATGTAACAGAATAAAATATTTGTTTAATATTCGGCTTTTGACATTTCATCAGGAATGTTACCACACAGCAAGCGATATAAAGATGAAGAAATCAAAAAAGTTCTTGTTCTCAAGAGATGCCCCGTAGAGCAGAAAACTTCTCCATATTTATTTAACATTGTTGTCTCGTCGTACTAAAATCACGGAGCTAATTAATAAACGGGAGCTTGCTTCGTACGGTTAAATTGCTTCACAGCGCGATGAAACATTGAAAACGATTAAAACTTGAGTCATCTTGATACCAATTAATTAAAAGTATTAAACAGCTGTGGCTTGACGTAATTTCATTTTTTGTTTCAGGCGTCCATTTATATACACTAATCCCTCTTACAAACGCAAACAAATTTCTTATTGCTCGACAAAGTTCTGCCACTTCAGGTGGAAGAGAACTCTCCATGCATTGTCGTATTAGAAAAGTAGATTTTCTACATTTTCATTTTTTCTTTTCGTGATGCACAGGATTAATGTTGCCATGAATTGCGGTAATTCGAGCGACTTCTTTTCCACTTCTAATTGGCCATACAGAAAAAAGGGGCGAGAAATGGCGAGTTTAATTAGTTTGTGGATTGAGAAAGCATAAGCTCTCGAGGGTTCCTGGAAAAATACGTTGCTTTCAGTATCTCCTGAGAAAATTACCTCGCTTGTGATGTAGATGATGGAGTTTCGATTTGAAGTATCCAAAAATAAAGAAGCCAATAACAAGTTACTTTAACTGTGTCTTGTTTGAAGAAATCGTCAGGATAGTTGTTTTGAAGGAATCGTGAGGGGATTAAATATATATTGCCTGAAGAAAATGTTACTGTCTGTTGTTTATGATTAATTTCATAGTTTCTATCTGTAATTCTATTCTATTTCTATAATGTGTTCAAATAGATCCTGAAAGTTAATGTTAAAAATTAATACAATGAAAATGAATATTAAATTAATACTATACTAATATAATACTATTAATATACTAATATAATGGTTAGTTTCTCTAATGCTCGGTAAAATAAAAAAGAAGGGCAAGTTGCAAATATTGCAATTAGAATGATATTACAATGCTCAAAGTTTCTAATCGAGTCGGAAAGGATTCGAGTAAAAAGTGTGTTGGATTATACGCGGCTCATTAAAATTAATAGGTGGAAACCGTCAACTAAAATAAAAATTATCCTCCCGTCCAGGACAGGAAGATAACATTGCAAAGCAAAAAGAGTATCCAATAAAAAGGGATCTCTCTTCTCCTGTTGAAGAACTTGAATTCTCTGAAACAAGAAATGAAATCCTATTGAACCTAAGTTCTTTTGAACTCCAAAGAATTCGATCAAGAATCATATTCTGAATTCCAAAGGGACTTGATGTTTGTTTAATATTCAATTAGATGTTGCTCGATTAAAAATGCTTTGCTGTAACTTTGTAGGAGAAGAGAAGACCCCAGGAGGAGGAGGTTTATGTGTATTGGAGTTTCGCCAGACTATCAGAGAGAGAGAGAGAGAGAGAATCCATGAACGACTGGAACAATGAAGGGAATCTCTTTCCTAGAGATAGAGAGGCTGATGGTAAAGCCACAGGCGATGATACACCACGAGTGAACGACAATGAATCATGAATAAGTCTCACCTTATCCCAGGGATTTGCGGAGCCGTGGACACACTTGAGGGCTTTCGGTCGCGTGACACAACTGGAAACCGGGTCACACGCATGGATGTTAATTGCAATAGCCGATTTCATCCTTCCATCCCCGATACTGTAATTAACCGCGGTAAACACCTAATTCCCGTACGACAGGACTTGGCCCCAGAGTATCTATGCGTTCGTGAGGAATTTCAAGGCACACCCACGCTACTTTCGCTTCTACAAGTGAAGAGAAATGTTGCAACGAGAGACGAGTGATTTAGACGTGTTGTTTATCTTCGTGCTAACAATGCCAAAAGTTGAAGGATTTTAGAAAGATGGAACTTTGAAGAGAATCATGATGACACGGTCTAGATTCATTTAATTGGCGCAACACGCACGTTGAAAAGTTATATTAGGAGAGATATTTTAATCTCAATGAATGAGCAACTATACGCAAACAATTTTTCAACGCTCCTGTTATTCTTATCTTGAGAATAAATTTAAGAATTGAACCAATTATCGACATACAGGAGTTAATTTTCCTCGGGATTTCTGACCTGTATTTCCACGCTTTTTCTTTTTTTTTTTTTTTTTTTGTAAGAAAGGTAGAGGGTAGTTGCCAATTTTCGATGCCTCCGAGACGTGGAATCCCCCGCATGCTTGCCATTGGCGGTTCGATCTTCTTTGTCGGGAAACTTGGCATTTCTGCCGATAACGAAACGAAGTTCGTCGAAGACTATAGAGGGGGATGGATTCCTTAGAGTTTCTAAAAGTAGTTGCGAATGCTTCGCATGTACCATCAGGGAAGACATATGGGGATCGATGTTATGCGTGTAGGATCTCCAGGCACTCTGATTGTCTTTAACATTTGTTTTAAGTATTTTCTTTCTTTTCTGATGATGCAGGGAATTAGAACAGTGAAAATCGCTGGAGGCTCATTCCAAAGAAATTAAAGACAATAGACGTTGAGTATTTCTTCTTCAAAGAGAATAATAAATACGTTAGTATTCTTTAGGATATTGAAATTATCCTTTTCGTTTTCTTTTATTGAAAATTCCCAAATATTTGCCCCAAATTAATGGGACTATTTCATAGGATTGAAATATTATTTATATTATATTGAAATATTATATTATATATATTGAAATTATATTATTATATATAATAATATATTATTATTATTATATATTATATTATATATTATTATATATTATTATATAATATATTATATATAATATATAAAATATATTATATATATTGAATATATTATATTATATTGAAATATTAGGGATTTAGACAGGAATTTCATAGGATTGAAATATTAACCAACAAACGTTCAACAAGCGTTCAAAAAATATTATTTTAATTTTATTCAATACGTGCAATCGTCGGGACAAAATTCGACAATTTTTGCACATTCGTACTGCGCGAAACCTCGCATAGTTGACCGTCCAAGATCATGGACACGGATCTTAAGGGGATTCCATTTGGCTGTTTGCAATCCTATTATCTTCCCCTTTCTTCACAAAGGTTCTTTTATAATCAGTTACACTTCAACACATCAACAACAACGTTTCCCCAACAAACACAATTTGTAGCCTTATCCAACTTGAACTTGTCTACAGTGGTGCAAACTTTCCGCCAGTATCTTTCAGCGAAGAAAGTTAGTCTTCTTTTAGATTGTCCTTTGAAAACCGTGGAACTATTAGAACGTTATCCACGGAGAGTCTTGGAGTCTCTCTCCTCTCTGCTTGATAATTGCTCCTGATTGCTTCTCTTTAACTATCCTTACTTCAGAATTATAGAATTGGCTAGTCGTTGGATGGTTAATCGTGGTGACAAGTGAAATCACGCCGTGGGTAAATTTAATCGTAATTAAGAAACAAGAGATTGATTGGAACTGAGGGGGGGGGGGTGGTCTCTCCAGGCCTTAGAAGATAATTATTCGTGGACGGAATAGTAAGAAGCGCAGGGCTTGGAATCCCTTGAAACGCCAATCACAAACAAAGCCGTGATCTATGGCTCGCGTGTGGGATTCGTCTCGACGGTTTGGATTTGCGAAATCGTGATCATTTCGTTGATTGACCTTGTTAGAGCCAATTCAATTACCAACATCGAACTACAACCGGTCAGAGAAATCCTGTAATTCAGGACTGAAACTCCTCGTGCACGAGGATCGCAAATGAATTTATTTATTCTTTCAATCTAAATTACAGGCGAAGTTATCGGTTCGGGAAATAGCGTGATGGTTTTGCGAATTATCAATTTATCGGGAAATGTTGTTGGTAAGTGATGTTCGTTTTTTTTTTTTTTT